AGGAACATTTAAATTAACCTTAACATAGCTAAGTAGTTAAGGAAACATTATGTAATGTCAAAATGAATGAAGGGGCATTTTCAGCATATTTTATGCTATACAAGTGCACATATGCACATACATGTATGTATGTGTATGTGTATATAACACTCAAATTATTTTTAGAAGTGAGTGAAAGTATAGAAAAATTACTATTTAAGTAACACCTTATAAGTTCTATTAATATGTAATTAAACTGATTTTTTCCCCAAAACCAACAGTATGTGTTTTTAAAAAACAAGCAGTTGGACGTGATATTTTAAATTTACATCTTGTTTTGGTTCATTTAATATTAACAAGATTATAAAATACCACTGAAAGAAACAAATCAATATTATTACGCCTACCTTGTTAGTCTCAACTTGAAGAAAAGAAAGTATGCTGATGAATCACTAAATACTTTCCATTTCCAGCCTGTATTTTGGACGCTTGTGAAGTGGGAGAGAAATGCTGGTTTTGAAGAATTAGACAGACAGACACAGAGAGGAGATTGCAAAATGAACTTTATTAAAAGAGAGAAGGATGAACAGAGCTCCCAAGCAGGAAGTGAGTCTGGATGATTTGCCAAAGAAGAATGAGAGGAGAGTGAGGGGTTTTTATCTTGGTCAGGAGGCTCTTTGTCAGGGCTTGTCCTCAGGAGCTTGTGTGTATATTTCCTTCATGGTAGGGTCACATGCTGGACGGATGTCTGGCTATTCTTTTCCTAATCTGGAGTGTATAGTAAGGTCATGAGATGCTCTTCACCTAAAAGTTTAGAACCATAAGGACCATCCCTATTGTCTCAGAATGTGGTGGGGGTTAAAAAAAGTCTCAATTCTTATATTTGCTTTAGATCATACTGTAGAGACCAGAAAATAAAGACATGAATGCTCAACTGTAAGTGTATTTCATAGATCATTCCAAGTGTACAAGGAAGAACTGGCTGGCATTTGTACACTGTGTGTAAATAATTGCCAATTTTCCTGTTAAATGTTTAATAAAAGTTTCAGAGAAGGACAGGAGAAGAAGGCATTGAGAAGAGAAAGGGATGAAGCAGTGGAAAGAGAAATTTAGCTGGATGGAAAGAAGGGATAAAGAGGTGGAAAGGGAAATTTCATGCGATGGAAAGAAAACCAGAAAGAAGAAGAGAAAGAGACAAATAACAAAGAGACGTGGATAAATATAGGAAAGACAAACAAAATAAGAGGGACAGATGAAATATCAGAAAAAGTATGAAGATAAAATAATGAAAAACAGACAAATGGGCCAACTGTTTTTCTTAAACTAGCTGTTCAATAATGATTCCAATTCTGGACTTCTTTTATTTTTAAATTCAAAATCTAGAGTTAATTTTTTTATGGAATTTGTATATGAAAGACAATATAAAAGTTCAACTGGCACACTGTGTTTATGAATATCCTACTATTGCTTAAAATTTCTATGTATATTGAACAACTGGGCCAGCTGATGTGGCAGTATAAGTAGCATGCTAAACAGAGTGCTGTAAGCCACATGGTCAACCATGTGAACCTAAATGGTCCTGGTACGCATGCACTTGATCAAGGTACTGATGAACTGGAACACTGAGAAAAACTGTGCACACCAGACCCTATTGACAGTGCTTCTCTCTAACTCTGTCACTCTCTTTTTTGTGTGTGTGCCAAAATATCTTGAATAAAAATAAAGTTATTTTATATTTGTTTTTAAAATGCTTAGAACTGGCACCAGCAGATGGTGTAATGGATAAATCACTGGACTCCCATGTAGTTGACTGTGGAACGAATCTTAGACTTGGCACTTTAAAACTCATGCCAGGTGTGTGTGTGTGCATGCCCAATATCCAAGAGGAAAACGGGGGAGAAGGAGTTGCAGTGTGACCCTCACACTGGAGGGGAAGGGGCTTGATTTCATACTTTCTCTCACTTTCTGTATGGCTCTCTCTGTCTCTCTGGCTAGCACATGCACCCTGTAGCAAAATATCTCTCTCTAAAAGAAAAAAAAATATTAAGAACAGACTTTTTCTAGAAATTCTACTACTAGATCATCTGGAAAGTCATGACTCATATTTCTGTGTTTTTCTATACAAAAATGCATAAAGACTTTCCTGATGACCTAATAGGTTTACTTTGAATAATTCTCTTCTCTGGCACAAGCAATTGGCGTAATGGTTATGTCACTGAACTCACACATAGTCAACAGTGGTTCAATTCCCAAACTCAGCAGCTTAAATTCACACCAGGTACATATGTGTGCATCCCCCCAAAATCCTGAGAGGAGAATGGAGGGGAAGGGATTGTGACATGGCTATCTGCCTTCAGAGGTGATTTTTCACTTTCTCTCTATTTCTGTCTCTCAAGTGAGTGCAAAAAAAAAGTTCCTCTTAAAAAAAAAAAAAAGAAGAAGAAAAAGAAAAGAGTACTGTTCTTCAACATATTCAACAGAAGAAAATTGAACCCAATATTGGAACCTGACACTGGCCTCATAACTAATTATTGATAGAAACACCAAACTCTGTAGTATATTGAAGGAAGTTTATTCTAAGGAAATAATTGTGACCATGTATTGGGAAACAAACTCAAGATCATTAGTAAGTTTTCAAGAAAGCTGAGTTACCTTAGGTCTTTTATACAATCTAGGAAACATAGCATCAGGGTTGTATCCTTGCTTGGTGCCAAAAGGCAAGGCATCTTTAAATGGGGGCTTACACATCATAGATAAACTCAGGTATTCTTTAGAAAATTATCTACCAGAACAGCAAGAATGTGTTAAAACTTCGGGTGAACAACAGAAATGTTCTAACCTAACATAGATAAGGAGTTACTGAATCATCTTGCAATGTTAAACCAGAGTCAGGATGTGAGAAGCAGGCCAGAATTATGGAGGTAAAGGGACCTGTTTACTATGATTGATGATAATAGGCATGGAAGTCCCCAAGTGACCTGGGAAGGAATTGTTAGGAAAAAAAAAACATGAGCAAAGTTCAATCCTCATAGCTAAAAACAATCATTCTGGTTATTTAGTGTATTTTTATGTGGAATGGGATTGCTCTCACACAATCTCAAGTCACAAATAAATAAAAATCATCAAATTCCATTTGTCTGTGGTTATTAAGCAATAACACTCAAAAAGACTGAATGGGCATTTTCAGCATATTTCATATTATAAAAGT